TAATTCAATGTAGAACCGCCACTGCCCCCCACAGACTGACGGCTGTGTAGGCCATGAGTCAGCGGATGAAGGCCAGAGAGCTCCTGACGGCACACGGCCATGAACACATTTATGTACCTGTTCACCAGTATCTTATCTGCAACGGATGGAGGGAACAGAAGGTGGCACAGCGCCATGGCAACAGGCTCTCGTTCCTCACCTCCACCCTCCTGCTGTCTTATTTTAACCTCTTCTCACGTTCATGAGAGAGGGTTTCTCTTTCCACTGCCTCGTCACTCATCATAGGAAACCGTTCACATCGCAGCTTTGTCTCCTGATTGGTCACATGTTGCTCCACTTGGTCTGAAACCACCAGTCCAAGGCTATTTTTGTCAGTCTGGTCACAAACACAAACGTAAGAAGTGCCATCTGAATGTGGCCGCTGAGGAGGAGCTCAGTATCAGTAGGTGGGCTGCTTCAGTCCTGGATGCAGTTTGAGAAAAAGGGCCTCTGGTCTCAGATCCCCCACCTCCCCCACAGGAGACGGAGCCCAGCTTGGAAAGATGTCATTTTCTCTGTCTCTTAAGTGGATTTGTCTTTTTGTGAGCATTTTGTTCCTCTTTGATGGTTTTTTGTCTGTTTCTGTTGTCAGTCGACTAAAACGTGTATGTGGGTCAAGTAGTATGTCTGAATTCTTGGTATGGAAAAATGTGTATGTGAGTAGTACCTGGATGACCTACATGACCTGGATGACCTACATGACCTACATGACCAAGGAGAATGTAAACGCTGGACACTACGCTGTCCCATCATCCCATGGTGGCAGCCCAGGCTCAGAGCTGTCGTCCTGGGAATGTTATTACACCACTTCATTAAATTCTGATATTTGTTCAGGTGAGAAAAGAACCATCTAGTTTTTGAGTATGTGGACAGTCTGCCAAGTAATGCAAATTCAGAAGTCTCCACCGCCGTTTTCAGATGTGATGACCCTCTGTCCGTCCATCTAGCTAACTCGACTTAGCAGGCATAGCAGTAGTTGTTGTCCTCTTACATGATGTGCTGGTTCACGGCCTCTGTCACCATAAGGTTTACCGTCACTGACAGCTACTGTATGTTTGAATCAAGGAGGGGAGACCGGCGTCATCACGTGTAAAGATCCGGGTCAATCCAGATGACCACGTAGCAGCAGGTCCGATGTTGTGCCTACTGCATTTTCATCAGAGTAGTAGGTATTCAACAGAAAATTAACGTACATGTGTAGTGGGTAATGTCATTCGCACCCACCGTGTCGGTCCCATGGAACGCCCAGGTTACCGCCACGGTCCCATGGAACGCCCAGGTTACCACCAATGTGACACAGCTCAAGTTACCCCAAATTAAAATCATATTGAAGTAGTAACAACGGCCAAATGTAAGAGGAGGAAAACCCCGCAGCTTCTATTCCTGACTTCCTTTTACATAACACCTGCCCTGGATGTCTTCCTGTTACCATGGCGACACCAGGGCCAACATTGATGTGCAGGAATGTGATGTGGGGCAGTGTTATGTGGTGGTCTGTCTCCCTCCCTCTCTCTGTTCTCCCTCTGTGTCTCTCGCCCTCTGCAGCACTGCAGAGAAACTGGCTCTGTGTGACAGAAACAAAGACACTGTTTGTTTCAGTCGCTCTTTATTTAGAGA